ATTTTATTAGTAGCATTTCGGATATACAGTATATTTACTGTTTGAAATGGTACTCACCTATTGTTTCATGGTGGGTTCTAAATGAGTGATTTCGGCCTGGATTGTTTTAGTAAGTGTTATATGCAAACTTTAGGATGGTTTTAGTTTGTAGAATGTTTGTACTTTTAATAAAAGTAATATAATAAAAGTAGAGTGGTAAGAAGTGGGTAGAAAAGGCAAGCTTAGGAGGCCAAGGTAGAAAAGACAATATTTCAAGTGTAATTACATTTCCCATTTGTCCCATTTGTTTACATGGAGAAGGCAAGGTTTAAGACCTATACTGCAGCCAGAAATGTTTTGGCATTCCTCTTTACTTTTCAGGAAGTCTATAGCACACTCAGACCCAGAACTGGGTTTGCATCAGTTGTGCACTGTCAGTGCTGCTGGGTTGTGTCAGGAAGGGCATCTGGCATAAAACCTGTGCCAAATAATGTGCAGATAATTCTGACGTACTGATGCAAAAGAGAGTTAAAGTTTTTTTTCAACGGTCTAATCAGATTCAATTATCTATGCTAAGCTACAGCTAAAAGTGCTACCGCTACGGAGATCGGCTGAACGGATTCGAAAATGGTAAAACTCAACTGTTTAACTCTAGTGGAGTTGGAAAATGAGCCTATTTTCAAAAATAGTGGAGTGTTCCTTTAAGACTCTCATTTCCACTTCATAATCCATTTAGCAAAAAAGCAAGGAGGATTGAAAGGTCATCACAGAGGTCATGCACAGGCACTATAAGGTTGCTAATGTTGCACAGTATAATTGAGCTTAAGAGCTTGACTACCTTTACTGACTAGCAAAAAGCAGTTATGTGAACAGTCATTAATGTCAGTGTTCAGCAGCATTATGCTGCTATAATGCTGAACAGTTCTGTTGAGTTAGCACAAAAACAACACACCAGCAGAAATCAATGTAATGGGCTGCCAAATATGGCAGTAAAGGCATTAATGAATTATGTGAACAACAGTTTAACCGAATGCATAATTTTCTGTCAAATATGCTAAGTATAGGGGTTCCGTATGTCGTTTATAATTAAGTATAAATCTCATAACAACAAAAAGCAAATAGCAAAACAACAGAAAGGCTTTGAAAGCATCTAAAGCTTTTGAGTATGTCACTGATTTGTATTGAATAAACGTTATACTTGAATGAATGGCGTGAACAGATGTCTCCTTAGAAAAAGGCTTAACAGAACATTTAATTAAGGCAGACATATTGAATAATATATATTTTTTTAAATGTAATGCTTGCAGAAATTAAAAGCAAGTGGTGGCAAATTACTTACAGAGGAACAGATGGAATATGCCATCGGAGGATCACAATGCCGGGTAAATTGATTAGCTTTATTTTAAATAGAGATGAGGGTTATATGCACCACAACAGTTAGACAGATCGATGGATGTCTTTGTATATTGCTCTGGTCATGTTTATAATGTTGGAGTATCTTCAGGAATTGATTGGTTTTCAATAGAACAAAGCTCTTATTATTAATAAATCACACATGTGATCTATTTAAACTCTCACCCTCAGTTTTATGGTTTATTGACTTTCACCCTTTTAAAATAAAATTTTAAATATAATTTGTGTTCTTACTAACAAATGCTTCATGCAGGTGCGCATGAGCATGTATAATGTGATATTTGGTTGTACAGTCAATTGATAATGGGAATGACTGACTGTTAGTTGCTAGGTTACTGTTCCATTCTCTAATTGGCCACTTTGATTGAAATTCCATTAAAAATAAAAGGAGCTCTTCTGTTGCTGCCTCCCAGTATTTTGTTTGGGACTGTGTTGATTTGCAGGGACTGAAAAGGCTCATCAAAACATGCCGTTATGCTGTTTCTCCTCTCTCTCTTCTTCATCTCTTTTTTCACTTTTTAAACAAACAGTATTACAGGAGCATGTAGTTCTAGAACTTCTAGCGTGATACGCTACGCCTCATGATTTGGATTTCACTGAATGCTTGCTGGGACACAACTGTCATCTGTGACGATTCACAAACATACACTGTCAAATTGATCTTTTAAGTGCATGGTTGCTGTTCAAGAAAGTGCTGGCAAATTCTGCTGCCTCCATTACAGTGACATACTGGTCAATAATGCAGAAACTGGCAGCTATTTGGGTGATTTCGTGTCTCTACAGTTGGCTAGCCTAGGACAGTCAAATTAGTCCTTTGAAACATAAAGTTTGGTCTCCCTCTAGTGGTACTTCGCATTTCTGCTTATATTTAATTTGCCAGTTTGATCTTTGATCTAGCTTGTCTTTAACCGTCAAACTTTGTCTTTGACAATTCAACGACCCAATAATTCAAACCATTAGTCTTTTCTCAATCCATTGTTAAAATTCAGCATTCGATTTTGTCTCTGACATCGTAACATTGTTTAAACGCAGATTCATACTGAATCGTAAACAACGGGAAATCACATTTTGTGGGAACATGGACGAAGAGAAAAAAATTGCCCCGAAACTATTGAAAATGGAGCTGAACTGAAAGAAGTCTGATCTTTCACCTAAAGCCTGGCTCACACTACAGGAGTTTTAAAATCCTAACCGATTATGAAATCTGGTTGCAGCACACACATAAGGAGAATCTTTGCAGATTATCTTCCCTCAGTTCTTAAACATGAACACACTACAAGATTTGAAAATCGTGGCACATTACACACTACAAGATATTAAGATTATCGTACCAGAGGAGCGCCTCACATGATCTCACGCAGCAGATCGTCTTTATATTTCAGTGATGTTTACATATTAGCTAGCTTGCTAGCAGCTTTCTGCACTCACCCTGTATGTTCAAAACTGAGGCGATTTCACCCCAGCGCATCTCCTTCTCCTGTTGTGATACGTTTTCGACACATTATACAGACAGTTGTGTTACTACAAAACTTCAAGAAGCAGTTTAATCCGTCTCCACTATCCAATGGAGCCGTACAGCAGCTGTTTTGCGGTGTTATTGGCTAATGAGAAAGTAGGCTACTGATGTAATCATATAGCCATCATCATCCCGATTTAAATACTAAATATAAAACATGTTTGATATGATTGGGGCGGCCCCGATTTGTGTGCGAGCAGATCGGGAGGTGCAAAATTCGATCGGTGAACGCCTCACATTACCAGATAATCCGCGCCGAACATTGGGACCGATCGAGGTGCTCGACAAGATTTTTGCTCCGATTCTCGGGAGGGGAAAATCTGGGCTAAATCAGGCTAACAATCCTGTAGTGTGAGCCAGGCTTTAGGCTGTTCTTTGTTTGATTCATTCACCTGTGATTTTTAGCAATGCTTTTGCCAACTCTCGCGAGACAAATAAGCAACTGCAGCTTCAAAAACAAGCCCAAAACAAGCCCAATATTTTTTGATAATTTATTATCATCAATATTATTTATTATCAATTATTTATTACCAATAAATGAGCCCGCAACATATTAAACTGAAACTATTATCTGAAAAGCAAAACCATCAGTTATTTTACAAAAATCAGCAAACTGCAACAAAGCAGGAACAAAACTCTTCTCCAATCACCTGTGAGCAGAATAGGATTGGACAGATGGAAAAGGAGAAAAACACGAGCTTCAAAGGGGAGCTGTAACATAGCCACATATTTATAGCCTACTAAAATATTGGCTATTCGAACCAAATCTACTCTTAGTATTAGTATAGGCCTACTTGTTTTTTTGTTTTTTTTTACAGCCCGTGATAATTAATACATTACTAAAACATTGTAACAATTAAAAATTAGGCTATTTTATAAAGGAAAAAAGTCATCCCACTCCTCTACGTCTACTACTATCATCGCTTGGATTACAGCGTCACGCTCCTTCTCTTTGAAAGTGATTTTTCTTCAATCCCTCATTGAAGAAAAATCACGTTCAAAAAGAAGGCGCGTGCGGAGAGGGCGGAATATTTGACAAATTATGCTACAGCATATTTTTTGCACTGATTGGCTATTAACTGTGAGCAGACAGAGTGTCAATCAATGCATTGGAGAATACTAGAGCCCGACCGATATGGGTTTTTTGGGGCCGATACCGATACCGATATTAGGGAGTAAAAAAAAAGGCTGATACCGATATATCGGCCGATATTCTTTGTGTATATTATAAGTACAGTACCAGTCAAAAGTTTGGACACTTTCCCATTCGTGTGTCCAAACATTTGACTGGTACTATAGTTTTCCTAACAAGCAACCATATTTTTTAAAATAAACCCAAAAAACCGCAACCAGCGACCCGGGGATTTTTTCAAGCAACTTTACAAAAACAGAAGCCCAAAGTCGCGTATAATACGCGGACTTGGCAACTCTGGGTCCGACTCACAGAACTGTCCGTTTACGAGAACCGGTTCACAACAGTTCAGTGAAGAATTTAGGTAAATTATATGTGCTAAGATCATAATAAAAACATAAATCAATTTCTAAACTATATATGTATATATATTTGTGTGTGTGTGTGTAAAATTAAAATAAAATTATTTATTTTTAAGAATAAATTAATATTTTTTAATAAATTAATACAGCATGTGTGTGTGTGTGTGTGTGAGTGTGTGTGAGAGAGAGTGTTTACGAGTTGAACGCACATGAACGCCACCACAAAGTCGTGATTACGAGTGGGAAACTCGAAATTTTCTTTAAGCCCAGAGATTCCGAGTTGGGGCGTGTCAATGAGAAACATGGCGGAATCAATGGATGCAACGTCTGTAGTTGACGCTAAATTTTTGTTTAAATTGATAGTTTAGTTGTCCTATAAACTTAAATTGGTCATGTTCTTGTTACGCAGCTGAAATCCAAGTAAAAAATGCAGACCCTGTTGTATTTTCTTGTAATTTATTAAAAGAAGGTACACCGCCATCTTGTGCCGACTAAACTGACTTGAACGCACCTGACGTCGTAATTACGACTTGTCAACTCGTAAGTACGAACGTCCCAGGAGGACTTGAACGCAGCATTAGTTAACATTATTTCTCTGGTCATTACGAAATAACTTCCGGTCAGCTGATAGTGTGTCATCGGTGTTTGCAAACAAATCTACTGTGGCTTCGTGCTTGCACCGTCCACTGACACCCCACACCGCCGCGGTCATGGGAGAGAATGATGAAAGCGAAATAATCGAGCACCACGATGACGAGGAGATGGAGAAGATGCGGACGCCGAGGAATCATTCGCAATCCTTTCTGGAGAGCGTCGCGTCGTCGGAGAAGGACGGATACAGTAGCACGCAGTCATCACACCGCCTGCTCGCCTACAGCGATGCGCTCATCTCCATCATCGCCACTGTAATGGTGAGGAAACCCACAGACAGACAGCCTTTAGACAAAAGGCATGGGACATTTTGCTGCTTTGAATGCACTGTTCAACTGACGTCCGCTAGTATATGACAAACCGCTATGAATCACCTGTTCTCCACACAAAGCCTGGGTTTATTAAATATATACTGTATGATTATGTTTTTTTAAAGCGTGTCACGATTTTCTTGTGTTCACAGATATTGCCTGTTGCGCATACAAAATTTCAGGATAATGAGGTGAAAAGTTACATTATGTCACCCTTCCAGGAATAGTTCACCCCAAAATGAAAATGTAGTCGTTATACACACCCTCATTTAAAGCTATACCAATGAGATTTCCACAGAAGGCAGACAAACACAAAATAAAGTACAATGTCTTTTCTGTTTGTGTCAGAGAAGAAAGAAAGTCATACTGGTTTAGTTAGAGCAGTGGTTCTCAACTAGGGAATCTGGACCCGGGACCCACTAGGGGGCCTCAGCACACTTCCAAGTGGCAGCAGGACAACTCAAACGATTAATCGCATCCAAAATAAAAGTTATTGTTTACATAAATGCTATGTTTATATATTAAATATATTTATATATAATATAAATTATATGACTATAAATATAGACATGTAAATACATGTAAATATTTTCAAAACATATACTGCATGTGTGTGTATTTATATATACATAAATATACACAGAACACACACATTATGCAAAGAAGAACTTTTATTTTGTATGCGATTAATCACGATTAATCGTTTGACAGCACTCATTTAAATCTATTGCCACTACTGCTTTATGTAATTGAAGTTTTAAAATGAGTAGTCATTATAGCAGATGTTTCAGAAATACCTTGAGGGCTTTAAAATATTGGGGTCCTTGTTTGAGCACCACTGGTTTATGTAAACATGAATGTATGAAAATCATTTTTGGGTGAATTGTTCCTTTAAGACATACAATTTAAACACACATTTATTGTATTTTTTATCTCCTAACTGATCTCTCTATATTCAGGAACTGAAACTGAGTATTCAGGCTTTGCTCACCACCAAGGTTGCTGTCTACTTGATGACTTTTTTGATTGTCACTGTTGCTTGGGCTGCACATATCCGGTGAGAGCCCTCAAGCACTACATTCTATAAAGTAGTAACTTCATAGAACTGCTGTTTTCATTCATTTGCATAAAGATTTCATTAAGCATTTGGTTTTAGGTTGTTTCAAGTCATTGAGCGTATTGACGACACTCTTGCACTGCTTAATCTGGTGAGAACACCAACAAAAGTATTCCTCCTAATGAATGTAAAGTAGCTGTATATTCATATTTAAAGTGTGTGTGGTGACTTTTCAACATCTCAATTCTATTCTATTTCAGGCATGTATGATGCTTATAACCTTTCTACCATACACAGTGAGTCATTCTACTGATGTTTTGAAAGATTGCTTAGTTCAGCACTATTTGACTACTTCCCTTTTGCCTCCTCGTATGTCTTTAAGGGAAATCTCCGTTTATGACGTTTATTTTTTGTTTGTCTTCTTTTAGTTCTCTCTCATGGCAACATTCCCTAATAATACCCTCGGCATCCTCCTCTTCTGTGCTTGTGTCATGGTGATTGGTTTAATTCAGGTGAGAACGCTTGCATGTGCTGAATAACATAACCAGCAGAAGATGCTTTGAGTTTTGTTTGACAGTCATATGTTTTTGTGTCTTTAGGCCTTGATTGTCTTGTATGGATTCAGCCATCCTTTCCTTCTCAATGATCAGATCCAAATGTCTGAGAATCAGGCTTATTATAAGAGACGGATACTTGAAGTCATCATGAGGGTTCCTATCATGTGCCTGTTTGCCAGCGTCTTTTCAGCCATCTTTATCCAAGTGGTACGGGATTTGAGCTTAAAGGGGTCATATGATGCTGCTAAAAAGAACATTATTTTGTGTATTTGGTGTAATGAAATGTGTTTATGCTGTTTAAGGTTACAAAAACACATTATTTTCCACATACTGTACAATATTGTTTCTCCTCTATGCCCCGCCTTTCTGAAACGCGTTGATTTTTACAAAGCTCATCGGTCTGAAAAACAAGGTGTGCTGTGATTGGCCAGCTATCTAGTGCGTTGTGATTGGCCGAATACCTCAAGCGTGTGACGGAAATGTTACGCCCCTACCATACTGTGATGCCCTGTCCACTGCGCAAAGTTGTAGTATTTCCTCAGCAACCAGCACGGATCAGCTCCAGGCATGACGAAGCAGATATCGTCCTCTTTTGGAAGACCAAACAAAGTAGTTTCGCTTTCACAACGTGTTCATTACAGTGTTTATATAAATCTAACAAATGTATTTACTGTTAAAATTATACAGTTTATTTTATTATGTAAAAATAAAATGTTTAGTTAGCGCCAATAGCCTTGTGGGCAGCGCGCCGACATACAGCGTCCGAATCCTGACTCGAGGACCTTTCCCGACCCCTCTCTCTCCCACTTCACTTTCTGTCAGCTCTGATCTGTCCTATCATAATAAAGGCATAAATGCCAAAAATAAAACTTAAAACAAAAACAAATTTTAAATCACACACATTATAACGTATATAACATTTATAATATTTTATATTATAATATTTTAATTAATAATATTTATTTATATATTTTTCCTCTGGCAGTCCTACATTATTTTGGCTATTGTCATATTCCTGCCATACATCGCTCAGTGTTTAAAATGGATCCAGAGTAAAGCCATCGGTGGTAAGAGCAAAATCTCACAAAACTGTACTCTCTTATTCTTATATTGCATACATATTTTATCATTATACATACACTGCTGTTCAAAAGTTTGGGGTTTGGTGGGATTTTTTAAAATGTTTTTGAAAGAAGTCACTTATGCTCACCAGGCTGCATTCATTTGATAAAGATACAGTAAAAACGGTAATATTGTGAAATATTATTACAGTTTAAAATAATCATTTTCATTTTATTTATATATATTATATTATTATTTTATATATATTTATTTTTTAGTTATTCTGAATTTAATCAGCCTTTACTTCAGTCATCAGTGTCACATGATCCTTCAGAAATAATTCTAAAATGCTGATTGGCTGCTCAAGACACATTTCTTATTATCAATGTTGGAAACAGACGTGCTGCTTAATATTTTTGTGGAAACTGAGATATACGTTCTTTAGATTCTTTGATGAATAGCATTTATTTGAAATGGAAATCATCATTCAATGCATTCTTGCTCAATTTTGTATTTATTTATTTTTTTTTTTGAAAATCCCAAACTTTTGAACTGTAGTGTAATTGGAGCAATTGCAATCTGCATTATATCCTTTTTTTAAATAACCTCAGGTCAGGTGGAAGACAGCCCAGATTCAGTGCCCTTCTACACCTACCATCCCAGTGAACCTTTGAGTAAAGAGCGAGTGGAGGCCTTCAGTGATGGGGTGTATGCAATCGTAGCCACACTGCTCATCTTAGACATTTGGTTTGTATCCCTCCAAAGCAGTTTGTCATTACTGGATCCAACAGTCCACTAGGTGTTCAAATACTGTGCAATAACCAAGAATTTGCCCAGTGCTTCTCTTTGGTACATCATTTTAAACACCTTGTTAATGTCTTACACAGTGAAGACAACGTGCCTGATCCGTCTGTGGTGAAGAAGGAGTTTGACAACAACCTTGTCGCTGCGCTTCAGGAGTACGGTCCCGAGTACCTGGCCTACTTCGGTTCCTTCGCCACCATTGGCCTGCTTTGGTTCGTTCATCACTCTCTCTTCCTGCATGTGACAAAGGCCACGCGCCTCATGGGCCTCTTCAACACGTTCTCCCTGGCCTTCGTGGGCGGCCTGCCGCTCGCCTACCAGCTCACGCATGAATTTCCCAGAGGCTCCCGCAATGAGCTGGAGGCCGTGCAGATCAGCTGCGTCATCATCTTCTTCGCCGGTCTGTTCCAGCTAGCCATGTGGGTAACGGCACTTTTCACGGAACGCGAGACTTTGCACCCGTATGTGCGCTACGGTGGACGAGAGCACGCCTTTATGTTGGCCAAGCTCTCGCTCTACCCCTGCGTGGCCCTCGGGACCTTCGTTTTCACCTGCGTCCTGAGCCGCTTCAGCACGTCCATCTTTCACATGATGGAGATTGGCGTACCGTTTGCTTTTCTTGTACTGAGGCTGCTGGTCCGTGTGGCGCTGGTGCTGCTCAGGTGGCTCTTCTGTCCTGCGAGGAACGATTTGGACAGTGTTCCAGTAGAGGAAGAGGACTCCCAGCTGCCCATTAATGATATAGTGACTTAGCAGTGAACGAAGAAGAAAACGCCTCAATGTTTAACCTAAAATTAAGGTTAGGCTAGATTCTCGGCGCTTTTGTTTATAATTAATACTGCAGCTGATAGCTTTGTGCTGTAGAAGACGTCCATATCGGTCAAATCTCTCATTTAGTTTAATAGACTGTGGGACTGATTGATGAGGTCTTCATCATGATGAGTCTTCAGTGTCATAGCAGTGGTCCGAGGAGAGCCCAAGAGCTTTTTTTCTCCTTACAGAAATGCACAAAAATGTTTTTAAGCCTTGGATTTATTAGCATGTTAAAACGATGTCTCAGTGTTTTTATGTTTATATTTTAATGTGAATTAAATTACACAGAGGTTTTCACTTCATTCAATCAGTAAGAACTACAAAAGTGTTTTAGGTTATGTTCAGTTATGTGGGTTTTAGTATTACAATTATATTCTTGGTATTTTTTTATTTTAATTAATTATTTTGCACTTTTATGTTATTCGTGCTTTTGATCTGGAGCTGCAATTCAGGTCTTTATACATTCTATTGGAGGAAATCTTTCATGTAACCGCAGAAACGTCCAAAACCACATGCATTAGGTGAATGCTCTGTCAATGTGCTTGTATAAATCTACTCTTCATTTCACCTGACAATGAAACTAGTGATGCACCTTAGAATAAATAATGAAGTCACTGTTGCACTTACACTCTGATCTGAATGGAGCATGTCGAGATAATGATAAAATGCATAAGCCATTATAAGAGGTGTTTTGTTTTCGTGGCATTTGAGATTGTTTTGTTAGTATTTCATCTAAATGTTATTACCATACTGACTATAAGATGTTGTATGTAAAGTGCACTTGTCAAACATTTTAATTTCTTGATTTTTTTATTACCCTCACATTATCAAGTCTGTTAGGATTCTGCTTTGGTTTTGGGAACCACTGTAGCTGTGTCAGTCCAAATGTTACTGTTTAACTACAAACAAAGATACACTTTTGAGAATAAACTCAAGTGCTGCTTGCAGAAGTACTGCAATTTTGGTGGAAGACTGAAATCATGTAATGAATGTGACCACACTGAGCGTAAGTCAGAAGTGAAGTTTATTCACCAAGTGTAGCATTGCAATAATAACAATAATGATAATAATAATTCTTACTTTTTTTCCCCAGTATTGCCCATAACTTATTACTTTCTTTGTCTTCTGGTAAATATTTACTACTGAACATTTTTAATAAAAAAAAAAAAAAAATCTGAAAATCATCAAACAGACATAAATATAGGTTCCCATTTTTTAAAACAACAAATAACAAACCATTATGAGCAAGTAATTTGCAATCCATTTTCAGCTAAACTTCTGAACAGTATAAGCTTGCACAATATTATATGTTGGGTAACATAACTTAAACTGTACAGCAGCTCTCAAAAACTAAATTGCTAATACAACTGTGACATCCACAAAATAAGCTATAGACAACTGGAGGTGCAGTCTCTTTTTGGTCTGATAGGATTCATATTACTACAATCACAACATTCTCACATGACTGCATCTACTGGACAGCAGATGTGAAGGAAAGGAACATGTAAACCTATTGCAGACAGGAATGAATAAGGTAAGGGGTCACACTTGCCTTTTTTTTTTTTTTTAGGTTTTACAATACACCCATCGATAACTGGTCCCAAACTACACGACTGAGTCCCGATGTGTAATTAGGGCGAAGGTCACAGGTTATTACAAATCCACTTCTTTTAACTAAAAGCCTAAAAAAGTGTGATGATAACCTGTAGTAATGTTACTTTTGTTCATGTAAGTGCCTAAATAAATATCTAATTTGTTCAATCTGTTATAGGATTGTTCTCTACTGTAAGATTGTAGCATTTGACAATGTTAATTGTGGTGTGAGATTTAGTTTGTTTTTTCACAGCAAAATTGACAGTGCTTTGGTACACATTTGTTTGGTAAAGAATTCAGTAAGATTTCAACAAATTAAAATAAAAAAACAAGGTTTTTAAAAACGAGCAGCTAAAAACTATATTTCAGGGAGGGATACTGTAAAAATAAAATATAAAAAAAACAAATCTAATAACATGTTTACATATTTTCAGATATTGGATATCTACTCAAAGCACCAGTGTTTTTTGATATTAAAACCTGAAAAGTTAATTGAATCTTTCGACTTGTGTAGTTAACTTACAGTGCAACTAAAACCAATGGTCACGGAGGGGAACACCGCAAATCATCACCTTCTCAAAAAGGCTGTTTTTCCCCCGAAAACAACCTGCTCAAGTTATTCTCCACCCCTAGAGAGGTTTAATCATGCTAGATTTAAGAAAATAAGACAAATCTAGGTCTTTTTGCATATTTTCATAACTTACTATTTTATAGAATTTGTTAAGCCTTATATATTATATTCATAAATGTATAATCTCTATATATATGATCTAGTGTATAATATCTATGTGCAATAATACATATGATGATATATACACACACGTGAGTTAATTTAGCGCTCACACAAACACAGTGTGTAATGGGAAAGGGAACATGGCTATTTTAAGCAGTAACAGTAGGACTTACAGACATGCTTCTGTTTTAGATTCACTGTTTTGTAATGCTTTGAGTTTAGGACCCCCGTTATAAATTAAGCTCACATTTAAATGTTAACCATGAGTATTATGGCATCTCAAAAACCATGAGTTGTTGATTTGGCAAACCAGGCCAGAATCACAAAACCAGTACAATGATGTCACTCTGTCACTTCCTGTAGTGCTATACATTCACTTACCATGTGCTTGAATCTTTTATTTTGCATGGTTATTGATTGGAAGACCTTTGATGCTAAGAGAACCGTCTCGCCCCCTTGTGGTCATTTTGCTCCTTCATTTGGTGAGTTTCTAATGGGTTAAAAGTGAGAGTTTGGTTTGCAGCCGGCGTCACTCTCTCTCACTGAAAGGGAGCTCCTGTGGTCTGTTGGGAGTGTGCTCCTGCAGTCAGTCATGGATGGATGCTTACTGAGTTCAACAGGACATAAGCTGGAGACGTCTGTCATTGGGCTTCCTCCACAGCAGGGGGCAGCATGCCCTGTTCTTGTAAGTGGTTGCGCAGCGTATTGAAGATGCTGAGTTGCTGCTCTGGTTGCAGGACAAGCAACTGCTGTAAAACCTTACTGGGGTTCGGCCCCCTGGGGAAAAGAAAAAAAAACCAGTGTCAAACATGCTTCCTGTGTGCACACCTCTGACAATAAAGAAAGAGCTGATATTGAAATCAAAATGCTAAATAATAGTTCTTTTTGCAATGTATCAGAAGTGAAAACATATGTTTTTGAACTTAAACCTTTTATGCTTTTAAAAAAAATATATATATATATATATATATGTGACCTGCTCCAACATTTCCTCATGCCAGTACAAACAAACCCAACATTGGACACAATAAGAAATAGAATATAATAACAATACAGTAAACTATCAAAAAATATGTTAATGGATAAATAGATAAATATATATACTTTGTGTGTGTGTGTGTATATATGTATAAAAATAGAATAAAATAGAAAAAAATCTCTCGCTCTCTCTATGAAATAAAAATAGAATAAAACAGAAAATATTTTATGTAAAATTATACAATATATATACCGAAGCTGTACAATGGACAAAAATAATGCTATATAAATCATATATATGAATATATCTAATAATTAGTGCTGTCAAACGATTAATCGCGATTAATCGCATCCAAAATAAAAGTTTTTGTTTACATAATAAATGTATGTGTAATGTGTTTATTTATTATGCATGTATAAATACACACACATACAATATATATTTTGAAAATATTTACATGTATATACATTTATATATTTATATTATTTGGTGCTGTCAAATGATTATTCGCGATTAATCGCATCCCAGATAAGTTTTTGTTTACATAAATATATATATATATATATATCCAAAATAAAAGTTTTTGTTTACATAATAAATGTATGTGTAATGTGTTTATTTATTATGCATGTATAAATACACACACATACAATATATATTTTGAAAATATTTACATGTATATACATTTATATATTTATATTATTTGGTGCTGTCAAATGATTATTCGCGATTAATCGCATCCCAGATAAGTTTTTGTTTACATAATATGTGTATGTGCTGTGTATATATATATATATATATAAAAATACACACACATGCATGTATATATTTAAGACAAATATGTTACGTTTATATATTAAATATATGATATAATTTATATGAATATAAATATATACATGTAAATATTTTCAAAATATATGCTGTATGTG